CGGCTGTTATACATTGTTAGAAAAATACAATGAAAGGGAAGGAACAAGGCTAAGAATATACATCATGTGGATGGAGTTGCAAGCAGTTTACATCAGATCTAAGAAACGGGAACTTTTTTCTTTTCTTTTTTTCTTTTTGAGAGGGTTTCTTTATGTAGCAGTCCTGTCTCTCCTGGAACTAGCCTTGTAGAACAGGTTGGCCTCGAAACATACAGAGATCCACCTGTCTCTGCCTCTCAAGTCCTGGGATTAAAGGTGTGTGTCTTCTCTGCCAGGACAGGAACTTATTCTTAATTACAAATAGAAACCTTATTTTGCAAGGACTTAACACAGGACAAACAGGGACTTACTCTTTTAACTACAAACAGAAACCTTAACCTGCACAGGACAAACAGGAACCTCTTCTTAAATACAAATAGAAACCTTAACTTGCAAGACTTAACATAAGACAAACAGAAACTTATTCTGAACTGTCTTATCTGCAAACAGAACCCTTAACCTGCAAGGCATATTTTTCTTGTTTGGTCTCCCATTAACTTGCAAGGTATAGTGTTTTTATTTTGGTCTCACACAAGGTTTACAGCAACAGTTATCTAATTTCTAGCCACAAAAATATTTATTTGAAAATCACCTATAAACTTATGTTGTGGCTTTAATGCCAGCAATTTTAATATGATTATCACTTTCTCTGATGCATCTCAGTACAAGGAGGATAAAGATATTAAGAAACTTGTAAAATACTTTTTGGACATATAGACATTTTCCGGCAGTAGTGATTGTACAGTTCAACACTTAATTTGAAAAAAAAAATCCTACCCTTTCTCGGGCTAAATGAACAGCTGTCTCATCCCTCTGAAGCTCACTGAGGAAAACAACACAGGGAAAATAACCACAACATTGCACTAATTTAAGTACAACACATCCATATAATAACCTAACTTCAGGAAAGTTAAGATCAGAAGGGGGATGCTGTAGAGTAGAGGAGGCTAAACCTGCTGGCCAATTATTTTCTAATTTGTATTAACTGAACAGGGGGGAAAGCACATCAAAGAGATTTTTGTTTACCAAATATTTCAGTTCAAGGAACTTCTGGCCTGATAGAGTAGGAACTGCCAGGTGTCTGATGAGAGTGAGCAGCTAAATGGATCTTTTAAAAAATGCATCTTATGCCGGGTGGTGGTGGCGCACGCCTTTAATCCCAGCACTCGGGAGGCAGAGCCAGACGGATCTCTGTGAGTTCGAGGCCAGCCTGGGCTATCAGGTGAGTTCCAGGAAAGGCGCAAAGCTACACAGAGAAACCCTGTCTTGAAAAAAACCAAAAAAAAAAAAAAATGCATCTTTTGATGGGCAGGATGGAGAATGCACATAGATCCCCACCCAGAAGGTTGAGGCCAGATCACATGTGCTCAGGAATTTGCATGTAGCCTGGACAAAAATAGCAAGGCTTTGTCTAAGTTCCCGTCCTTCCTTCCTTCCTTCCTTCCTTCCTTCCTTCCTTCCTTCCTTCCTTCCTTCCTTCCTTCCTTCCTTCCTTCCTTCCTCCCTCTATCTCTCCATCCATCCATCTATCCATTGACCTATCCTACAGTGATGCTTTTTAGGTTCTCCCCTCCCAGGAAATAAGGTTGGCATTGGGGGAGAAGGAGCTCTTCCCTTCCTTCCTTCCTTCCTTCCTTCCTTCCTTCCTTCCTTCCTTCCTTCCTTCCTTCCTTCCTTCCTCCCTC